TTTCCGATGAACGATCGTTTTTCCTCCGTTTTGGAGTTGGAGGAATCACAATTTGAAGAAAAGAACAATGTCATAATTTCTCTCGAGCAGTCATCCTCTCTATTTCTCTCTCTCTCTCTCTCTCTCTCTCTCTCTCTCTCTCTCTCTCTCTCTCTATCTATCTATCTATCTCTCTCTCTCTCTCTCTCTCTCTCTGTCGCTCGTATTCTCTTTTTCTTTGTTTGTCTCTTTCTTTCTTTCTCCCCACCTATTTCCCACCATATCTTTCTCTCGTTCCCTCCTGGCAACTGGGGCATGTCATACATTTCGCTAGCACTTCCCCCTGCTCTCTCTCTCTCTCTCTCTCTCTCTCTCTCTCTCTCTCTCTCTCTCTCTCTCTCTCTCTCTCCCTCTCTCTCTCTCTCTCTCTCTCTCTCTCTCTCTCACACACACACACACACACACACACACACACACACACACACACACACACACACACACACACACACACACACACACGCACACACACACACACTACCGGGTCTGGGTGCTGAAACTTTCCGAAATCACAAAAGAGTTCCCTTACCGGGTCTGTATACTTCGTGACTTTGTTCCCGGTTACCGGGTCTGTATACACTTCGATTTTTAAAGTACATTTTGAGTACTTTTGAAGCTTAATGAAAGAGTAAGTGCCGGCATTTCTGATAATAATTTAGGGAACAAACACCCAGGCGGGCACAGCCGATCAACCAAGAGTTAAAAGTTGAGACCAAAGAATTGCCCGTCGCGTCAAAGATCAGCCACACTCGTGAATGCGATCATAAGCGTTGTAAAACTCCATGAAACGGTACAATGATCCCCAGGTGGGATCACACCGAGGTGTGAACTGACCGATGCGTTTCTTTTCCCCAAACATCGCACTCGCATCTGAGCTCGCCACCTGAACTTACTTCACTCGCTGGGTGGGTAGGGCCTACAAGTTCGCTCCAGGCAGGATCACATCGAACTGTGAACTCTTCCCTGTCCATTGACGTTGAAGGCAGTTTTTCTCTATTCCCGACTTTGCGAGACAGCCTGAATTTTAATTGGTGTGGTCACAGCGTAATGGTACGTAATGACAAAGGCGGGGGGACTCAATCAGAGATGGAAGGCTAAAATTTTTGGACAAGTAAAGGGGAGGGGCAACTGGATAAACGTAGATAAAGATCTCGAGAAGATATGCTAATGAGTGTACGGTATAATATTATGGCATGCCCCATGCCACCATGCTACTGTGATTGGTCATCAAGGTTGACAACTCTTTGCTCGCCATATGTCATAAACCCACCCAGGGGTCACGTCAGTACATGGGTCACTGTAGATTCTTCCTTGGCTTCGTCGGCTAAGATCCCGTATTTCCCTTGCTCCCGGGCACTGGGATCTTAGGCGGAGAAGACTAGTAGAGAATTTTTGGTTACACTTTACTAGACTTTAGGAAATTACATGTGGGCATATTTTGGTTAGCCGTGGGCGCGTGGACTACACAGTGTGACCAAAATCTGTCTTACCACTATTATAATCAATAGCAACTGAAACTGAGTTTTCAATGTATTTCAATCGAAAAAAATTTAGGCGACCTAAATTTTATTTTAACTTTTGGCGGGGTTGGTGCTTAAGGCTACCTTGATTCCTTGAGGATTTGTTAATGAAGAATTCAATGCACATTTCCATTTTGTTTTTTTTGCTGGCCATTTTCATCAATTTTATATTTTCTTAAGAGGAACTTTGTCTCTACATTTTAAATTTGGATACTTTTCCTACTTTCCCACCTCTAGGACTGACTTACATTTGATCATACTGTCTTGCTAAAACAAGTTCTATTCATAATATCACTTACTAGTTGCGTCTGTTTGTTTGCTGGTTTTTTGTTGGTTTTTTTCGATTTCACGGTCCATTTCCACCTACGTTCAGTGCGTATATTCAAATGCTTTGTATACTGTTAACATTATTAGTAATAAATGGCCTAATTTGTTAAATATACTAGATATGTTATTCAATATGATGTTTTGCATTTGCACTGAAGTGTTTTAGTTTTAGCGTATTAGCAGAAAGTACTCAAAAGTATTCATAAGTGCTTTTTAAAAAAGTACTTGTACTCAATTACATTTTACAGGAAAGTACTTTTAGTGTACTTAAGTAAATATTTTAGATTGTACTTAAATTTATACTTAAGTACCTTTTTTAAAAGTACTTTAACAGCTCTGCTTAAAAATAACAACTTTAACATATATTCAGAACAACATTTTGGTTGATAACAGCTGATAAAATATCATATTGGGAACAATATTTTGGTTGCGGTTGATAACAGTATTGCCTCTGTTCACGGGTGGATGGCGGGTGTTCTGGTGTTGCTGGTTCCTTCACTCGCATCAAACATGATCCGTCGATCTTAACTCTTCCCCTTTTCTGGCCCGCCTTAGTAACATTTTTTTAAATCTTTGGCATTCATAATGGCCTAATTGTGTTGCAAGTACAATGGAAG